CTGGGGTGCGTGTAGGGGCGCGGGGTGCGGGCAGGGCCGCCTCTCCCCCGGCTTCCCGCCTAGTGAGCGCACCTTGGACGCCTGCGGCTTTTCCGAGCCGAAACTCACGGGCTGTGGCCGGCTTCGTTTCGTGTCGTGCAGCTCCGCGACCGCCCGTGGCCACACCATTCAGGGACTTCGTGCTTTACGATGGGGGCGCAGTGGCCTGGCACACGCAGGACCCCGGGCCTCGAACCCTCGCGCTGGCCGCCCTGGACCCGCGGCGGGGACCCGCACAGTCAGGGTACCTGCCCATACCGATGGGGTGGGGACCACCACGGAGCCTTTCCTTGGCCCCGCGGCTTCTGTTCCTTTGGAGACGGACAGCGCCCACCCGGAGGAAAGCCTGACAGACGAGACTTCGCAAGGTGAGAACTCCCTTCGCTCCCCACGCAGCTGGGGCAGCTGCAGGGCGCCGACCTTCTCAGCCTCATCGCCTCACCTCTCCCACCAGATGCGCTCTGGGGGGCCCTCCTGATGGTTGCAGGGAGGTCAGGGCTGGACAAAGGGAATTCAAAAAGCCCACCCGGTGCACTGGGTAGGTGGCACCGATGGGGAGGGGAAGGCGGGACGCACCCCAAGACCCCGGCCCCTTAATCCCATCCCTGCATAGATCACCCAGCAACCAGGACACCCCTCCAGGGCCAGGGCTATAGCCAGGGACTGTATGCAGACATGGCTGGGTCTGGCCGGCCTACCCTAACTGGAAAGGAGGCCAAGCTGTGCACCTAAGGCTGGGCTGGCACCTCCGCTGAGCCAGCTCTCGGTCTGCAGGGGTGGGGAGGGGTCTCTGGCAACTGGACCCTGAGCTCCTGCAACCCGTTTCTGTGCTCCTCTTGCCTGGGGGGAGAGCGAGGAGAGACTGGCTCTTCTGCTCCTGACCTCTGGATGGCCATGTCCCCGCCCCCCACGGAGTCCCCACCCAGCCTCACGAACTCCTGGTCATCTTGAAAAACCCAGGGTAGTGGTCAGGCCCCCACAGGATCTCAGAGGCTCAGCCAGAGCCCAGGCCCAGCGGTCAGGCCTCCACCAACTGCGGTCACGGTGCACCTCTGTCCCCAGCATGGAGGGCCTTGACCGCCTACACCACTTCTCCAACCTGTTGGGCCCCTGGCAGGATCTACTGAGGCCTCTGCGCCTGGCACAGAGAGGTTGGGGGCAGAGACCTTGGGAGAGGTGCTTCGTGCCCCCTGCCCCCAGCTCCTACCTCTGCTTAGGAAGGGCAGACCCTGGGCTCTGACTCTTGCCCCAGCGTTGTGAGGCAACTCAGGGGCTGCACCAGCAAAGCAGAGAGTGATGGTGACTCAGGGGACCCCCATGTCCTTGCCCAGAACTCCTCAGGGGTTCAGCCGGTCTACTGCACCAGTTTTCAGTGGAAGCCCCTTGTGAAGGTATGGGCAGTGGGGCAGGGCAGGAGCCTGGATGACGGCGTATGGGGTGGGGGGCCCCTAACTACCTTGGCATGTTGGCCTGAGGACAGCTGGGGCCTTCACCCTGTGCTGTGACCATTCCAGCTTCGTGTTGCAGCACCTCCATTTCCCTCTGGGCAGCCCTCTTTATCCATCCTCAGATCGTGGGGAGCTTGGGTGGGGCTGGCACTCCCCTGCCTAGGAGTTGGCAGGTGACCTGGGCCCGGCCAGCCAGACTGGACCCCTTAGTCTCAAGGCCTTTGCTGAAGCTCTTGTGAAAGGGGCGACTGCCCCTGACAGGTGTTGGATTCCAGCTGCTGTGGCCCTGAAGGTGGGTGGTGGGAAGAACGGGAGAATGAAGCCAGCCTTGGGAGAGGCAGGACGCCGGCCTGGCCCAGCTGCTTCCAGCATCTGGATCCAGCCTCACCTGAAGCCAGCTACCTCCTGGACTGCAAAGTCATTGTCAACACCAAAACAGGGTTTCTGACCATTGCAACCGAGGGTCCCGGGATGTCGTGGCTGCAGACCCTGCAGACCGCTATGAAGCTAGTCCTGCCCACCTTGCATCAGACCTCTAGCCAGGGACTGTGGTTGCAGACTTAGTCCTGGGACTGAGCTCCTAGTGAGAGGCCAGCAGCGAGGGAAGAGGGACCAGCAGAGAAAAGGGTGGAGCCTCGGGCGGCCAGCAGAGCAGCAGAAACCTAGTCTGTGAGAGGAAAACGTTGCTTCCCGCGGCCTCCTGCTGAGCTATGGGGATCTGGGTATTGCGAAGAACAGCTGGGGCCAACCCTAAGGAAGGAAGGAGGGAAGGGGACAGGGAGGGGCGAGGAGGAGGGGGAGGGAGTGACCTCTGCTTAGCGCCTGCACTTGGGCAGCGGTGGCCTTTCACACGCACAGGCTTCCCCGCCTGCAGCACCGTCTCCAATGCTGTTTGTACACACACTAGCATCCTGATAGTCACTAAATGTTTTCTTTAAATGAGTTCACTTTTTCACTTAGAGTGCTTTCTAAAAGCAGATCATGATCGCAAATAGTAAGTATCACTTCCATAAATAGAAGGTGTCAGAAAAATAACTATCAGACGTTCTTGGTTTCTTGTCGTGCGTGGAAGCATCAGACGGTCTCTGAAAGGCTGTCCCTCTGCTCCCCAGGTTGGCCCATCCTCTGCCACAGCTTGAGCCCCACCCAGGGGGTCCCTGCTTGAGGAAGTGCTTCCCCTGTTCTCTCAGGCCCTACTTCTGCCCCCAGAGGGGTGTCTGTCCAGGGGACCCCTCAGAGGTCCCACCCAGCCACTCCTGATCTCCTCCCCACACAGGTGACTGGGCCACGGGGGCTCGTGGGCAGCCCTAGCCAGGGCTGAGTCCTCACTGTAGCAGGGAAGCTGCTGCCCTCTCGGCAGGCCGCCCTCTGGGAACCCCTCTTCTTTCCAACTGCCCCAGCTCCAGGATGGGCTGAACATGCTTTTGCCTGGCAGGGGAAGGCTGGACCAGTAACAATGGAAGTCTCCAGCAACAGTGGAGACACGGGGGCAGGGGAGCTTCCGGACGAGGTGTCCTCCTGGCCATGGCCTTGAGGGAGCCTTGTGGCTGGCACGGGGCCTGCTGGGACGTGAGCAAGTGGGTCCCTGGGGACCTGGGGAATGGCTTCGATGCTTAGGAGCTGTGAGAACGAGAGCTCCAGGGCAGCAGCCACCGCTTCTCATGGCCCCCATGACCCTCAGCCCCTTTACGCTGGGAGCTGAGTGCCAGTTTCAGCATCCTGGCACACACTTCTCCTTTAGGGCTCCCAGGAGCCACTCTTCCCTGCCCCTGTGGGTCTCCTGTTTCTCCAGCAGCAGTGACTGCTTTCTCTTCCAGAAACGTGTGCCCCTGTGAGCCCTTCACCACCTCTGGTCATGCCTCCAAAATTCCAGGGAGGGGACAGAGCCCCTGGTGGAGAGGCGGGTGCCCCCCCAGGGAGGGGACAGAGCCCCTGGTGGAGAGGCGGGTGCCCCCCCCAGGGAG